TTTTTATTGGCTTGAAAAATGGCATTAATTGGTTTGGTCGTAAATTATCAGGAATTTTATCTACTTTTTCCATTAAAACAGAGTTTCCAGTAAAGTGTTCGTCGTATTCTGTCAGATCATAGACTCGTTCCGCTTCAGCTAAAAGTTTGTCGAATTCAGTGAGTAGAGGACCCAAAAGTTTGAGCTTTTGCTTGAGTTTTGGAGGTAATGCGGTGCTAAGAACAGTTTTTAGGAAAAATTCTCATTTTGTTCTTGATCTGGTTCAGGATAAGCCTCTAATATGCATTGCCTTAGTCTTTTTAGAAAACAGTGTCGGCGATTCGCCAAATTTGTGGCTATTAGAGAATGAGAGCGAGTTCTATGAATTACTGGTGGTTCAGAGACAGGACGATCGTATGATAAAAATTCTAGATGTTTTTTGTCCTTTTAGGCTGTTTGTGAGAGATTCGAGAATGAGAACGAGTTCTTCTGTCCGAACTGTTCATACAAAGAAGTCAATTGAGTTAGTTGCTTTTAGATGAGCAGTTATTGTTAGAAAAAAAATTTTTTTTGAATTTTTTTTGATTAAATTATTTATGTATGTTAAGACTAAGATGAGGTTACTAATAGTATGAATGGATATTGCTTAGATCGTATTCTTATAAGAAGTTGGAAGTTGACATTAGGTTAGATTAGTTGTTGAGCGACTTGGTTGAGAGAGTGATCGTCGGCGAAGAAATTGCAGAGAAAAGGCAGAGAGCCACTAAGTAGTGGATGTGGGTACTAGATTGTCATAGGTAAGCTTTATACAGGTATCCAAAAGTTTTAATATGTGTGAGAATTGGTGTAATACAAATACTCCGAGAAACTGGTAAATATTTTGACGGAAAAAATTAGTCTTTACTCTTCCTAATGGTTTTGTTTACGGGTTTGGTTCCTGTATTACACAGTATTAAGATGGAGAATCTATTTTTGGATGTGATATTGTAATAAGTGAGGTTTGGATTTATTGCAGAAGAAATGCATTTTTTCAAAGAGTGTAGTAGGACGAAGTCTTTTTATTATCAGAATGAGCCTCCGTGGGAGGGGTAAGAGGATTTTGCAGAAAAAACGTCGTAATTGAAAAAAAAATTCCATAATCTTGCTTGGTTATGGCAAAATTTTCGAGAGTTTCTGAGTTTGTGAAATTTACCGTTGCTTAAGCAGTTGAAAAGGAGTAAGATTTATGTAGAGATATTTTAAGCATAATATTGCATCTGTCCCGACCTACTTGCTAGGGACCCGTAGGGTCGTTAGTCAGTATAAAGCACTATTTGGAATTTATAAAATAATGCCAAAGTGGTGTCCAATTGCTCTCTAGTCTCTTTGTTTATTTGAGATAGGCGAAAAAAGAAGGGGTAATGTCACAATTATCAATCTCAATTGTATAGTCATTAGTCTTAAGCGTTCCTCCATGAGTTTTCCCGCCTATGGCCAATTGAGTGAGTAATTGCGGCTGGTGATGCGCTAGGATATTTTTATCTTTGCAGCCATTTGTTCGCGACTCATCAATTGCAGGTGGGGTGCCTCCGCGAAAATATTTTTAGGGCTCGGCCATTTGCTTGCGCCTGATTAATCGCGGATAATAGCGTTTCGAGCAAAATTTCGTGCGGCCACCTGTGAGTTTTCGTCATCCACGAGAGAATTTATTGCTAATTGAGGTTTGTTGAGGTTGCGCTGCCTGAGAGATGCAATGACCTATTCACCAAACAATGCGCCGTGAATCGGGCGTAGCTGATAAATGTCAGCGCCTTCACGTGCTATATCTTCGTATAGCCAATCTCAGATTTTGTATGCATATTTTACCGGTTTTCGCGAGCGAGTCCTTTTGAATTTCATAATAATTGTATAAATTTTAAGGGATAAATCCCGATATGCTAGCTATAATCTTGATTAATAAACCCTCATTTTTCTTATGCACAAAATAATAGTTAATATTCAATACTTTTTTTAATCTCTTAATTAATCACGTAAGTCACGGATCACGGTGAATTTGTAAACAAATCTACTGTGAATTGCGCGTAAAAAAAACAAAGAATTGCGCTCAATTATAAATCGGCACGGAATTTATTTTTCGAAAATATCCGCGCTCTTACATGCATGAAATATGTAATTTATTGACCTAAGGTACCCGCCCGCAGGACTTTATGGAGGCAATTCTCAGATTGCTCTAGGTTAGTGTTAAAACACATCATTGTCGGTTAGTGGCTAAAAAAATACTTACGTATCGTTCGAATCCCGTTCCTGGACGGCCATTCAAGGAAGCGGAATATAAGACGAGGTGGGAGGGGGGGGGGGACATGGTGGAGGGGAAAGTTTTACTGCGATAACCAAAAGGAGGTGAGTTTTTTTTTAAAAAATTAGTCTAAAATTGAGAAATCTTAGGAAAAAAATCTCACCGGGACTTCCATGTCAGGTACAAGGGGTAGCTAGACCCTTGCCTGAGGGTGTAGCGGTGTTACGATGTATTTGACATAAGATCAGACTATCTAAGGTTTATTATAGAAAGAGATATATACATGAAAGATGAAGGGAAGGGGGGAAGGGGGACTGGGAGCTAGTAGCCAGTCATGCATGTTGTAACTCTCCACTCTTTTTATACCTACTCCGTATTACAACGTTGCTGTAATATCCGAGGTACAGAGAGGTACTGATAAACAAGATCCAGTAAACAATGATTGCATGATCCTGATGCAATGTTACATCGGCTTGATGAATCATATCCTGACATGCGCTTATCCTGTCACTGTTTGTGCTTCTTCTCTTCCTTCCACCGACTATTTAATGACATGTTTTCAAAAGTCGGCAAAGCATGACTTTGGGTGGAGGACATTAGGTCGCCGAAAAAGGGCGGTCCCCGCGGTCATTTGCGACAAATACGCACCCTTGTACATGCGCGGACATGCGTTCCCGCAGGAAATCCGCGCGGGACTCTTCCAGATTCGGCGACCTAATGTCCTCCGCCCCATGACTTTGTCACGGCTATGCTCACCGTCTCGCTTGCATAAGCCGAGTGGCTCCCAAAATTCGAATTTTGAGCAATTAGCCTATGATTTCGATAATTTTGAAGCCATAAACCATCCCTTCTATCTTTTTTGGATAATGCACCTACCGTCCTTTCGTAGGATGCCTTCAGATGATGCCGACATCGGCGTTGAAAAGGCGTTAGAAAGAAGACTTTTTTAAATTTACAGAAATGATTTTGAAAAGTTTTATCACTTCTAAGAAGCGCAGTAGAAGCCAGAGCATTCTTGCTTACGTGCAGCAGATTCTTCAAGCTGTTTCGTAGGCATACTGGCTGATTTGAAGGGCAACGTAATATAGTTGTCAAAAATGGATTTTTTTCCTGTTTGATTTTCCAAACTTGATGCTGTAAATCTTTTTAGGGTCTTCTGACGTATGAAATCAAATGAGAATTTTGTTAAAGCAGGCTTAGAGCTTTCAAATGCATATAAACAATTTGCAGCACATCGCGCAATGTACCCTATTTTCCGGAGTATAAGCCGCACCTTATATAAGCCGCACCCGCCGCAGCGAACAGTGGCGTGAAAGCGCCTTTGAAAAGAGCTATATAGCAAATTGAAAACTCGGTGCGTGCTAGTACGGATAGTCAAGTCTTCAGGTACTTTTTTTCTTTTTTTTTACTTTTTTTCCTTAATGGATTCAACGAAGCCTTTACAACTGATCTAGACATAGACGATCTCGATAATAGCTTCTCGTCAATGCATCCTGATGATAGTGAAAATGCTTAGACTTTCCTTCTTGTTTCATATGACTTTGCGGGTGTTTAGGTTGTGTTTTCTTTCCTACACGATACTACTGGTTGACTGTGCTGTCCTTTTTTCAAAGATGTTACCGGTGCTGAAATTGTGCTTTCTTTTATTTTGATTTACCGGTTCGAAACAGATAATAGTTGTTGCTTGTGCGCTTCGCGCATCGCGAACGACATCGCATTTCAGCCCGCGCGGTGAAAAGAAATGCGGCTTATACTCCGGAAAATAGGGTATCAAGAAAATATTGAAAGAAAAATGAAAGAACTTACTACACAACCTACTACATAGTTTGGAGGTGTAACTAAGTGGAGATGAAGGGTTTGCGGCGATTCAAGAACGCATAGACAGGTAAGGCGATGTAGAGTAGAATTATGCAAAAGTTTGGAAAAATTGTGCGAGGAAGAGAAAATTCATGACTTTTTCTCTGCACAGCCACCTCAGTGGCTGTCAAAGTGATCCAAGTGGCCGTAAAGCGAGCTAATTCCGTACAGAGTTTGCCGCGGACTCGCTTCACATAAGTTTTCATGATTTTTCACACATGGTTAAGTTCCTATTGCAAACTTACTCACCAATTTTGGCAAAGCTTTTGTTTGTTTGAGGGACCGCTGTGTAAAGCGTGCCACCTGCATGCCAGTGGCGTGCTTGCGGCTCTTTCCGCCCGAACCCGCAAAAACGGGGTATCTCCTTTACTTTTTACCCCCAGAACGATATCAGCCTGCTTTAGACACCATCTGTGCCAAGCCTTGACTCCAGCGCGTAAGTTTTTCAGCTTTTCCGTGTTTCTTGCTTCTGTTCAAACGTTTAGGCCTCGCACTTGCGGATGGTGTGTCGGAAGGGGCATAATTTTGCATGACACTGGAATTCCGAAACTCCCAACCTTGTTCGAATTGTTGACATGGATAGTGAAGTCACCATGCCAATACTAATTTCTTCTTCTTTGCTGGTCGATTTTGCAACAGCACTTGGGTTCCGGTCAACAAAAACATAAGCATTTATTGGAAAGCATACCGGTGTGTACAACATCAAGACAACACTGTACCTAGCTTTCAGCTAGCTGCAGCTTACCCTATCAACAAAACAAACTTCACTTTGTAAAGTGGCAAGGGCAGTAGATTGTTTTTGTGAAAATGGGAATCACATATATCAAAACAAAAATATCAAACTAAAAATATTTACAGATAGGATGAGTCTGCTACTATACTTTGCAGCTCAAATCAGAACTTTTCCTGACTGAGTTATTGAGGGCACGGTTGCACAGCTGACTTTCTTAGGCGCGTCAAACACTCCCAGCGTTAGTCGACATCGAGGGAACTCCCAATATGATAGGCAGTAGAAGAACGAATTGTACCCGACAAGCAAGTATTCAGCAATAGAAAATGCTAAGTAGGCTAAAAAGGTTCTTTTGATATTATAAAGCAACGATGGTTAATGTGATGCTTACCTTCAGGAATGCAATATGCGAGAAAAACGGGATAAGAGACAGCTGTTGACAATGACAATATCAGTCCACTGATGAAAGTGACCAATTTGATTCTCCAGATTATTTCGTACTGAAAAGGAACCAATGATATTTATGTGGTACAGCAAGTGCATGATGATTCAATGCTTGATATTTATCACCTTCCTCCTATTGACTGATAACGACGCCTTACAGAAAAATTAGCATGATCAATGGTAAATATCTTGGTGCTGCTGTAGCCGGTACCAAGATTGTTAAATCGTTTATTCGGTTAACGTTTTGGCCTAGTCGCCTTCTCAGAGCCTATAAAGCATAAAACATTTGAATTTACCTCCCTCAAACATCTCATCCATCGCAGAAAAATATGAGAGGCTCCTGCCCAACCTAGAACATAGCTTATCTTAGCCGATAAGATTTGTTAAAGACCACCACTGGCTGGTACGTGCTTTGGATGAATGGATTCGGTCACCAAAAGTTGAGAAAACCTGCATAAATCCAGGCACGAGCTTGGTGGTCACGGCGATGCATTCATCTTTTGATTCATTTTTGGATTTTCGCATGAAATCCAGCACGCCTCAGGAGTCTTTCTCGCTGACACCTCAGTCTCCCTTGATAGTATGCTAATTGAGATATCGAAGCCGTTTTGGTGACAAAGCTTACGGTGGGTGCTCAAGGGGGTCGACAATCGTAATCTTCGTAACTAACCAAGTGCTCCTTGACTTTGACGCATAGCGGCCCTCCCGTCTCTCCTATGTATTCATCCCCACGGCGCTTACAGGTGATGGGATAGATAGTTCTTGAGCACATACAATGCCCAGGACTGTTTGTTTCACAAATGAAACAGTTCTCGCCGTCGCATGCTCTATCGTGTGCTCTGTTTCACACTAAAGGCTGGTTCAAACTGGGGGGGGGGGGAGGAATCTCTACGACTTTCAACCAGTTCTGAATGCATAGCCGTGACTACTGAGCTTGCGCCGTTCCTGGATTTATACAAGTTTTAATTTCGACCTCCGGAGACCGACCTCATTCATCGCAAAGCGCATACCAGCCAGCGATGTGCTTTGACAAATCTTATCGGCTAAGGTGAGCTATGTTCTAGGTTAGGCAAGAGTCTAGCCTGCTTCTCAGATTTTTCTGCAATGGATGAGATGTTTGATGAGGTAAATCTAAATGTTCTTTCTTTATAGGCTCTGACGAAGGCGAATACGCCGAAACGTTAGCCGAATAAAAGATTTAGCAATCTTGGTTTCGGCTACAGCAGCACCAAAATATTTACAATACACCAAAATTTATGGAGAGTCGAACATGGAACATGATCAATAGTGTCAATTAAAATGAAAACCAGAAGTTCTCCGCAAGTCTTACGTGAGAACTATTCTACTCGTTTATAAGCCCAGACTGCTTACATTGCAGAAATACTCGCAACTATGAATCAATCTCGTTAGACTGCTCGTATTCCCCACTTTCTAGAGAAGAAGTAAGGCCTAAGGCATACCTCACGCGATTCGGCCGAATCGCCACTTTCACGCGCTTGGCGGTTTGCCAGATTTCTATAAATTCATATTTTAATATAATGCGCACTTCTCGGAGGCATATTCAGGTAGCTTGTTAAGCTGTTGCAAACAGAGCAAGTTCTGACCAAAGGCAGCGCATTGACGACAAATTGCGAGGTATGCGGTAGGCCTAAGAAAAAACATGTGAACGCAAAATGGCACATTGGACTTTTATGGCGGCGCACTAACCAGAAATAGCGGCTGCGACAAAAAATAAACCATTTAAACGCAAAAAATTGACTTTGGCATAATTCTGAACTAGGCGTCTGCCCTTCTTAGTGCAGCCACGGCACAGGCGGGCCCTCTGCCTTATCCGGAATTTCAAATTTTTGTGCAGTGACACAAGCCGCAGCAAGGTGACTAGACAGATGATGTCCACTATACATAGCACTAAATATTGAAGGGAAATCGTAAAATTTGTCGGATTTTGAATACATATTATATCATGCAACTCCTCTTGAGGCTGGTGCTTTTTCGAACGCGGTTGTTTTGATTCCAAGAAGCTCTTACGCTTTCGCTTTGAGTACTCTTTATTGAGCTATTACTCCTATAAGTAAATCGGGGGTTGCGTAGGTGCTTGTTTCATCTAACAATAAGTCAATTATGAAACTAACCTTTTGAGAATTTTCTCGGATTGATTTTATTTTATTTTTATTTATTTTATGTATGCACTCATAGTGCGCCAAAATAACATATACTCAGTCATGAAAAAAATGTCCCTGTCTCACTTCCGCTCGCCAAGCTAAGTGCCCAGCCACAGTCATTATGACCGCAAATGAGATCCGCTTGAATTAAGAAGCAGACTTCGTCGATACAGATGATTAGCAAAAGGGAATGCTACCGCCCTAAGAATAAGTTGAGCTTCGAAGGCTTCCAAGACCAGCCTGGTTCACGTTAGGTATCCATCAGCCTAACAGACTAGTCTTAGATGCACCTGTAGTTGGTTCAAGCAAAAGTAGATGTCAAGAATGCTAAGTTTCCGAACGGGAAAAACAAAGTAAGAAGGGGTGGAAGTATGTCAGGTCAATTGACATAACTGCTTGTTTTATCTAAAAATAAGTCTAATTGTGAAGCTAACCTTTTGAGAGGTTTCTCGGATACCACCGAAATGGTGGAGAATTGTGTTGAAGAGCATGTTGAAGTTGAACGAGATTATCCAGACTGAGTAGGCTATCGCATGAATCACTAAAACGAGCCCATTCACTATTAAGTCACAAATGAACAGCACTAATTCCACTGACCGAAGCTGCACTTAATGTCCAACACGCTAACAGCGACAAGTCCAACCAGTTCCAACCACATGGTTTTTGTGTAGAAGTAGATAACCCGTCGATATGCCAACGATTTCGGGGCTGCGTTTTTGAAAGCACGTCGGTATAGCTAGAGTTTAGATATTGAATAAAAAGGCTAAAATAGTTGACAGAAAAGAATCTCACGATTAGGAAGAATATTCGTGGAGGGCAGTGTAGAAACATGATAAAAAGCCAAAAATATCGTTGAGGCTCCCAAATTCCGATCGCGTAGGACACTGGTGGAAGTAGCCTAAAATCTTGCAAAAATGAGCCGAAAATTACTATAGCGTCATAAAAATGAGAAGCGTTTCTGCATATTAATTTTTCATATTTTGTTCGAGGAAATTTTCGCAGTCCTTATATTAAGTCGCTACTTCTGAATATTTTCACAGATTAAGAACCTACGAGTGAACATCCGGACATTGGTCACTTTGTGTAAAGTTCTTGATTACATCGAATTGAAAGATGTAAGTGTATCCTATACAGAAATAGCATCCTATTCCAGGCAACAGCGCTCCCATGCAAACGATGAATCTCACTGGAAAGAAAATATTTATCATTGAATCAAGAAAAGCAAAGTCCGCGTACTTTTCAGCATCCTCTCCACATTTTCTGGATTCATCACAGAAGCCATTTTTGGGAGATTGTACCCTTTGTAAGTAGCGGCGAGGTAGTTGGAAAGGCAACACCCTGGAATAGGTTTTATATGGCCCAGTGTCCCTGTTTAGGCATGCTTACATAAAGTTCGAAAAAAGATAATTTACGAGAGAAAAAAAAAACAAAAACATAGCAAAATAATGAAAATCCTTTCGTTCAAAAGCCGAAAAATCACAGAGAAGGAAGTGATAACAAAATAATTTTTTAGAGGAGCAAGGTAATTGTTATGCTGGGAAAAACAAATCGTAAAAGTTCATCTCTACTTTACTGCATAATCCCATCGTTCAACATTATTGACCACAATAATTTCGGCACCTCAAACGCTCCAAGCAGCGGGAAATAGTGCCGGAAATTCTTCTAAAAATTTCACAAGTTAATTGATAAGTCGTAAATTCGAGCTTCTTGTGACTGTGCGAAAAACAACCTGATGTTTTTTGTGCGGGTAAAAATCTGTACTTGGTTACAACAAATTTTATTAAGAAGAAAAAGTTTACGGGTACGGATTTATCTGAGAACCGGAAAGCGAAAAATAAAAAAGTAAGAAAGACGAATAATAGCAATCACACGATGTGCCGAAAGGACTGCTCCAGCCGCCAAAGCACAAGAATCACTGTAATAAAGTTAGTGTAGGTTCAGAAGCGAAGTCCAGCACCGAAACCGAGCAAACTGGGGAAAACAACAAGTGCGTTCACAAGGCTTTTTATGGACATTCACGGAACAATGTCCATTCAGTAATAGCAGCACTGTCAGGAAGACAATGGGCGGAAAACTAGTAGAGAAAAGTTGTCAAGCAGGTGGATGCCCTCGCGCAACCATGCCGCACTCGCTTCTGCTTTTGCCTTTCCGCTGCTAATTTTCTCCCCCCCCCCCCTTCCCCTGGTGTAAAGCTAAATTGGTGAAAGCATCGAGAAACTCTTACGCTTAGGACTGGATTTACGTAGCTATGCGCTAAACTTCTGCTCGATGAAATCAAGTTCGACCTTTCCAGTATGACAGGACAGGATCACAGCAGCCAACATCGATCGTCAACTGCAATCTTTTTGTAAATTATCATAGTCAGTGGATTTTGTGCTGCTAGAAAATTTCCGGTTTGTATACTATCGACTAGAATTCATTTCAGAAGCCAATTATCATGTTTGTCAATCTCTTGCAGTTTTTTGTAACGTTTGTCATTCGAGCCACTTTTTACAGTTGTAGCGGTGGAATCCGGCCAAAATTGCGGGATTTGCGGGGTTTGCGGGACTTGTGGGACTTGCGGAATATAGTTATAACTTCTTTCAAAACAACTTTATTTCGAATCTGCAAGAAGATTTGGCTTTAGCTTGATGAGACGAATCTTTTAGTATACATCATGCCAGTTTTCCATGGTGCATTGTGTATTGTAATGGTATGTGTTATGAGATTTATCATATGTTTACCGTATCACCATGGACTACGAGCATAATGTATACTAAAAAATTAGGCTGAAGCCAAATCTTCTTGCAAATTCCAAATAAAGTTGCTTTAGAAGAAGTTGTGGCTAAATGCCCCAAATCCCGAAAATCCCGCAATTTCGGACGGATTTCACCGACAGACTGTATATTATAATGCAAGTCCTTATTTGCAAACATTTTTGCCTCTGAAAACTATAACATTTGAGGAAGCACTCGAAAACAGAAAGCTGAGAATTTTTTTCTATATAATTTCAATGTTTCCAAAAGTCAACTTCATTTAGAAAACAGTTTGAGTTCCTTTGATATCTCACTTTCTTCTTCATTCTCATGCTGCCAGTAATCTTTACGCTACTTACGGCCATCTGTAAAAAGAACTCTGGCGTTAATTGCAGTGGACTGTATTGAGTTCTGATTCAGAGTTCGAAAATGAAGTTTTTAAATCCAAAAATGAATAATTTGTTGGACTTGTCATTGCGTCAAGTAAGTTCAGATCTCGTGTGATTGATTGTAGTACTTGAATGTTAAATCCAGTAAAAATCTCTAAAATAGGTCAAATGTCGTTTCTGGTAAAAAGCAAGACATATGGTTACGGTAAACAAAATTTACACTTGAATTTTACTCTGACCACATGTTTTTCTATTTTTGACAAGAATTTTCAAAGAAAGTTATACTGAATTCTTGAAACATCATCAAGAATTTGCGATTTTAGCAGTGTATGTGAATTCCCATAAAGCTTGGGTAAAAAAAGAAACAGAACAAAAACGACGTTTTCGTCACAAAAATCAGTCACAGAGGAAGAAAGAAATTTCTAAGTTTTGGTCACAAAGTTGTTATATTGTTCTAAATCATTTCTAGGACATCGACGGTTTGTCAGATGGATGCCATCGAAATATATTGAATAAAACAGCCCTTTTTGTAAACAGAAGGACTATACGTATGACTTCCATGGGGTTTATAAATTGTCAAGTTCTTTTTTTTTTGTTCGTTGCAATTATTGTTTTTTTTACAAAGAGGGAATTGTCAATGAAGTTGAAATGGAAGAAAACTTGAAGCAAAGCTGGAATGAATCTAAAGGCCCCCTGAAGTCGTTGTAAGCTTTGTACGAAAGCTTTTTAATTGGATTGGATACGTTGTAAGAATTTGTAAGGCACCATGTTATTAGCACCACTTTTGAACACTGAGGAACACATTTTCTGGCAAACATTTTCCTGCAAAATTGAAAATCTTTGTAAAAAGAGCAAAAGTGTGTAAGCATTTCCTTAACACACTTCAAGGATTTCCAGACATCTTGAAAACAAAAAAGAAAAGTGTTGACGTGCACATTTTCCACTTATGCATGCTTCACACATGAGGGTTTCATGATTAACGGTAAATGTGCCAATTGCGGTAATTAAGGTGGAACAAAACATCTTACTGCCAGCAAAACAGCGCTAAGGAAGTTTTCGAGACCAAAATGAAGTCAAGTCAATCTTTCTCGAGAGTGATGGGAAGCCGATTACATGTGATATGTTGAAAGCAGATGATATGATAGCGACCTTGATGAGAAAACTCGTGTCACGAAGAACCGATTGAACCTTCAAAAAAATTATCAATGACCTAGAGGTTAAGATGTGCGCAAAGAAGGAATTTACTTCCTTTAAAACCCGCCAAGAATATTGGGTTACGGTAATAAGGCATAAAAGTCCATATTTTGTGATGAAATTTAGCCAAAAAGACTATCTGCAACAGCGATAGAAACGAGAATCGTACTCCACAATCGATATCCGTGGAGCTTATAAACTTCAGCTGTTGCGTTAATCGCTCTGGTACCAGAAAGGGAACATCCAAAAAACTGGCGGCACATTTGCGTATTTTTTGCTGCTCAGCTAATTTTCTGAAATGTGTCGCTTTGACTAGTATTTTATGGACTAGATTCTTGAGCAAATTAACTTAAAAAAAAGGTTGCAAGAATAGTTTTGACGTCAAAATTACTCACAAAGGAAAGCAAAAAATCAATTAGCTTATTTCAAAAAAAAAAATCACACTTCTGATAATACGTAGAATTTGCAAAATAGGCATAAAACAGCATAGTGTGTTGAAAAAACACTTCCGTCAGAAGTTATTTCATTCTAATAGCAAGAAATCACATAGCTTGTTTTGGAAAATGTGCACGTTTAAAAATTCCTAAAATTTGCAGAACAAGCACAAAATAGCATCAAGTATTGAAGAAAAACTTCCGTCACAAGTTAATTTACTTTGATTTCCTGCAAATATACAAATTTCCAAATTTTGAGATAAAAGCTCATTGATCACCCGCTACCGTAAAGCTACCGTACATTGTATTTATTTATACTCGTCATGTATGAACAATGTTTATTCCACTATGTAAGATTGTTATTTTTTGAACATTCTGACAATGATTCTTTACAACTTTGTGACCAGCAATCAGATATAAACTGTAGAAATATCATAGTAACTTCATTGTTAATGCAGGATATGACAGTATCAGGTGATAAAATAGTGAAATACTTATTGACAAGAAAATGATGTAACTTTCAAAAGTACTCATTAATTGGCGAATATAATCAAAACAGGACAAAATACACCTCTTAAAAATTTCTGCCAAAACTATGATATATAAATACAATTTGAACCATGCTCAGTATGACATACAATCATATTTTCACTTGATGTCATACCAGGAAGCTTTATATTTATTCTTGGCAGTTACCCAAATGGAGGAACAGCCAGGTTACAGCTATGGTGCAACGCTTTTTTCTTCGCTGCAAACGCTCGTTGTCCTTCATGCTATTTTTGCAGTAATTTTTTGCGGTTTAAGTTAACGTACAAACATATCTATGGCTAGCGCAATGATTCATAGATTTAACACGTTGACAACAGCGTGCATTTTTAGCTATCTGCCTTGTGGGACAGTCCCATCTACAGTAAGTTGAGTATTTTCAGCTGAAATCAAACAGGCCGTCATCTGCAGTATCCCTACAGTGATTTTGAGAAGCACCTAAAAAACGCGGAAGTAGTTTCTAGAAATAAAGCATGATAGAACTTCTAAAACCACAGTCATTGCATGACCCACCATGTGGGTCACATTGTCGTCATTGTGTTAACAGATACGAAGAGAGTTTGCTAAGGAGTTTTTATTATAGGTCCTCGCTCATGCATGAGGGAAGGACCGAGTATCAAAGAAACAAATCCTTCTTATTGGGAAGTACATCAGATTTTTTATCATGCAAGTACCACAGTTGTCGACCCATGTACTTCTGGTACAAAAGCGAATGACTTATGTCATGTTGAAGTGTGAATTGCAGTTCTGTTCAAAGCTACTAAAGGCGAGATATTAGAGTAAATTATGCAAAACTCGTGTGGAAAAAGTACTTAAATGTGTTTTGACCGTGTGCGAAGGTACTCTGCCAAGGCTTAAAGTAGTACATTAATTTTTAAATCTATTTTGCAAAGTTTTTCGATAGAACATTCGTAAATGGCAATGAGTTCATTTGACGCAAAGATGGGAATGAATAGAGAAAGTGGATTTGAAAGGTAAACGAGT